AAATTAGTGAAAACTTCGTCAACACGTGGAAAACACTTTTATTAATGACAGTATTAACCAAGTTTTGACATGTTTCTAAAAAGCAAATTGCACTAAAATCTAAAACTCGCACGTTTGAATTTAAGGATGTTTTTTGTTATACTTATTAAATTATTATTGCTGGTCTTTCTTTTTCTGTTTTCTCTGGTAGAATTACCCGGCAGTATTATCCGCTAACCAGCCGGACCTAAAGCAGGTTTCACAAGGTATCGGATCAAAACCGGGTACCCGGCCTATCTCTAAATCATATCAAAAAATAACCGTCGAAATTATGAGAAAAAAATAATTTTCATTTTGAAACAATATTCTTCACTTCGAATTATTTTGTTCTATTAAATGTTTATTTACTTATTATATTGCGAGCGAAGCTGCGGTGGGTATTAAATATGTATAACATTCGTTAACGTGAACAAATCGACAATGTGGACAACTTTTGTTTAATGATTTAAAGATTCTATTATCTTTAGGTATAATAAGTATGCATGGGTACAGATATTTATTATATTTATGATCTTAACTTTAAATTAATGTTGGTAACATTAGTGCAACTAAAGCGGTAAAATGTTTAGTTGAGTGCACTTGGAAGTTGTGTCGTTTTTCTGAAACTTTTAATTACCTTTTGTTTTATTTGACTGTTTTTTGATAACGGACGATTAAATGGGTGAGGTTTTCTTTAATATTTTCTACATGCTGCCCGTCGTCTTTTCATAAAGATTACCTTTGTTTTAGTATTTCTTAAATGCGTACCCTTTTTAGAAGTAATAGAATTCTTGTAAATTTAAAATGGAAAACAATTAATGGTGAAGGTTGGAATCGTGATGACTTTTTATAGGTAAGGGGTCCAATATGTGTTTGCATATAAAAGTTGTGTCGAAAATTTAATTAAATACTAGATAGCCCTGTGATCGCGATGAATTCAAAGTCACCAAGCTGACATGAAAAATGTTAAATTGGTGCTCATTCTAATTTTAATTTCATTTTTTGACGTAATGATGATGATAATGTAAAGATATGAGTTAATAGATTGTTAAAGTGTCAATGATGTGATAAGTGGTGACTTTGAATTCATAGCCATCGAACACTTTACCATTTTAAGAAATTTTCTGGACCGTTTTTATGTCATTACATAATATGAAGATTGGACTCCTTATCTATAGTCTTCATGATTACAATGATCGTCCTCGATATTTTAACAAAGCACAAAAAATTCATCGATCAAGATTAATATAAAAGTGCGACAACAGTCTCACCAGGAAATTTTATTGAGCATTAGAGCCAACACAACACACAACAATAAAAATTAAACAATAATAACAACAAACGTTAGCGTTGACATCAAAAAGAGTGGTATAAGTCACCTGTAATACTTAGGATTGCTACTTTTAGTGAAATTCAAAAATGTCCAACAAGGTCCAAAAGGATATCGACTTGTTGAACTGAATCCACCGCGTTTCGACAGAATATTAACCACCTGAGTGGCAAACCGTATACATATATATTTTATTTCGATTCTTTTCCATTAATAGATGTTTTATGTGGCCAAATAAACCTTGCATGTGGGGGGCGTGTCGACTAGAAATTAAAAAGTGATGCAATCTAAATAACATTATTTTATTTATTTGTCTTATAGGCAAAATGGTTTTTTAAGGATGTTTGGGAGGTACAATCGGAGACAAGAGTACATAAAATTAGAAATTCGTGATTAATTAGGTTTTGCAGCATATCATGGGGTAAATAAATGCTATCTATACTAAAAAAAGTATACGATTTAAGAGAAAATTTGGAATTTGATCAAAAACTTTGAATAAAACAAGAAATAACGAATAATATGGAAAATTTTTAACTGACTTTTGGCAGTGAATATGCTTTGATTTTAACTTCGAAACAAAAAAATATTTAGTTTCANTTGTTTCGAAGTTGAAATCAAGGCATATTCACTGCCAAAAGTCAGTTAAAAAATTTCCATATTATTCGTTATTTCTTATTTTCTTTCATTATCATGATATGCTGCAAAACCTAATTAATCACGAATTTCTAATTTTATGTACTCTTGTCTCCGATTGTACCTCCCAAACATCCTTAACTGTGTAGATATAAGAAATCCTTAAATTCACTGAGTCTAATTCGTCTCAGGACTCTAATTTATTGTCGTATTTCTTTTTATAAAAATGAAAATGGGTCAGATTAATATACAGAATTTTATTTTTTATTCGCATAAAACTACGTTTACTGGCAGAAGTCAGACATAATTTCTAAAAGTTATGCATTTCGTGTGGCAATAATAATCGTTTAATTAATTACTTCTCTCATTATCAAAATGTATTTTACAAGAATTTTAATTACATAATTACTTATTTGTTGTATTTGAAGTAATTAAATAACAGTTTTGTTATGCACTTTTCATTCTAAGCAAATGAAAGCAAAAATGTGTTTCACCAGCGATGAGGCACGTTGCAGACTTTCTCTAGGTACAAAGGGACACTTGAACACTTTCTCTCTATCTGTCGTCGGCCTAAACATCGAGGACCGACCCGGGGAAGTAACCGCAGGCTCTTTCTGTCGATCACCCTCTTGCGTATGTACTATTATACTTTCCAAAGGATGCCGACTTTGTTGACTGCTACGTTGAAACGTTTCTAAAATTTTTTTGGGCCATTGTCTTACATTTGCTCTCGTTTTTTGTATGGTAAAAAAACCTTTTTGATTGCAAGAATGCGAGGGGTAAACGTGTATAATTTTTACAAAATTTTTTTGTGAGTAGCAAACTTTTACAACATTAGTCTTGGCTCCTATTCTGTATCAAAAATTTCAGAGAGAGGAAAGAATATAGTATATTATAGTAACTATATTTATACGAGGGTGTGTTTTTAAGTTCGCGGAACGGGTAGGTAGGCCATTAGTGAGGGTACTTACTCGAGTCATCACGAATTAAGCACCTCATTATTATTAGTATAAATACCAAGTTCTATCGTAATTAGGTCAGTAGTCTTTGAACTATCGTCGACGAAACAAGTCAATCGGGAACAAATTGTGAAATATGGAGAGAATAGAGCACCGCGCTGTTATAAAGTTTCTTATCAAGCAAGGAAAATCAGCTTAAACCATACTGGAAAAGATATCATCCGTTTACGGGTACTCTTTCCCAGGTAAAACTATGGTTTACAAGTGGCATACCCTCCGGTCGATCATTGTTGACCACTCCGGAAATCATTCACAAAGTCGAAAAAGTAATACTGGAAGATGTCCGACTTAAGAAGAAACAGCTCGCCCTGCGGAAGGTGGCCTTCCAAATTTTGGCTCACCCACCCTACAGTCCTGACCTAGCTCCCAGCGATTATTATCTATTCCCAAACTTGAAAAAAGTCTTCGTGGGAAGAAATTTTCAAGCGACGAAGAAGTGAAGCATGCAGTTTCGGTGTATTTTGCAGACACGCAAAACATTTTTTTCGTAGGTATACGTAAGTTAATCGAAATATCGGAAAATGTATAAGGGTAATAGGTTAATATATTGCAAAGGAAAACTAAATTCGTACTTTTATTTCCACTTCTCCATCCCCTCGTACCCTATTCAAGCCAGTCTGCACAACTTCTATGACTCGAACTTCTATAACTTGCAGTATTTTCTTAGTTGAATATTTTTTGCTCCCTTGACATATTTTCATAAGCTTATTTTAAACTATGTAAATTTCTATATTTAATTTCCCTTTAATTCGAATACCTATCCATATTAATATAACTAAAATAAGATTTATATTTTAATTTCGAATAGTCACTGACTGATTTTTGTTTCGTAGTCTTTATACCGTGTGATTGTAAGCTTTAACGGAGGAGGGCTTATTAAGTTTTGCTTAATTGACTGTGTTAAGAAGGTTCAAGTTAGGAAAGCTGGTCGTATTACGTAATGAATTTTTAAAGCAAGAAGATTTGGATTTTTATAATTTTTTCGTATTTTTTTTTCTTATTACTGTTGTAAATACACACGTACTAACGTGTAAAACCAGGAAATATCTGCTAATATCCGGTAAATCAGGTAAATTTAGAATGTAATGTAAAAATTTTTGTAAATTTGGGTAGTTAAACTAAAGTAAAGAGGGAAAAAAACATTTAAAAAACCTAAAATGTGTTTGACACAGCCCAAACGTATTTTGAAATTATAAATTAAAATATATAATTTTAAACTATTGAAATGGCGGTGCAAATTCATCCTGGTTAATCTAAATAAAGGGTAGGACAGCAAAGAGTAAACATTCAATATCAAGCAAATAAGAATGAGTTTTATAGTGTTGTTGTTAAACCACCTGTAAGTAGAGGTCGTCATTTTGATAAGTGAGCGAAGGGTAAACCTATCTGGTATTGAGTGCCCCACCGGGTATGTAAATTTACGCTTGCGCATTAATTAAGGTTTTTACAGGTGGTAAATTAACGAATCATATCCGTATAGCTCTTCTGTTAGTAGTTGAATTGTTTGCTATCATACCTTTTATTTGATAGATTCAGTAGTATATGATCTCCTCCCTTAAACGTCAAGCGCCACCCTCCCCCCTCTAATTGATATTGGTTCAGCCGTTTTAAAGATTAGCCCCTATATACCTGAACACAGGCAGTCACAAAGTCGGCTACTGCGGCTGACATCTTCAGTGGTCGTGCTGCGTTGACAACATGAACGCAGTCGAAGTCCCAGTTTGAGTCCCAGTGACTGTCGAGACTTCGAGATATAATCTACGTTCACGTTGTCAACGCAGCATTACCACTGAAGATGTCAGCCGCAGTAGCTGACGAAACGTCTGGACAGAATAGTTTACTTAGATCACGGCCCTATAACCCGAATCTTTATTCTACTATGGATTCCGGCCGTGAAAGCCTTTATTCTTATAATATCCAGATTAACTACATTGGCTGTAATGTACACATATTTTAACTTCTCGTTATTGTTATGATTAAATGATTCTTTTTGTCTACAGGTGTATTATGCCAAAAAGAAACGGAGAGCAGCTCAAACGCAGGGTGAAGACAGTTCGCATAAGAAAGAGAGAAAACTGTACAACGACGGATATGATGACGACAACCACGATTACATTGTAAAAAATGGTGAAAAGTTCCTGGACAGGTACGAAATCGACTCACTGATAGGCAAGGGGTCGTTTGGGCAGGTGGTCAAAGCCTTCGACCACGAAGAGCAGTGTTACGTAGCTATTAAGATTATTAAAAATAAAAAACCCTTCCTCAATCAGGCCCAAATCGAAGTGAAGCTTTTAGAAATGATGAACAGAGCCGACGCCGATAATAAGTATTATATAGGTATGAAAAATATATATATTTTTCTATCATTATTTCGTTCACTTGATTTTGGTGGTGTTAATACAATAAATTGATGAGATGATTAAATGATATCCTGTAAGCAAGATTGATTTTTTTCTTTTATTTTTAATTTGGTGTTATCAGTAGATACAATTTGATGATCTTTCGCATGAACAAAAACTTAAAACAATTCAATAGAATAGAAAAATTAAAAGAATTCTTAACAATCTTTTAGTATCAATACATATGAGGTATATTAGTTATTAAGGAGTTGTTTGGTTGTTGCAGTTAAATTAAAGCGACACTTTATGTGGCGTAATCACCTCTGTCTTGTGTTCGAACTATTATCGTACAATCTCTATGACCTTCTGCGGAACACGAACTTCCGAGGCGTGTCACTCAACCTCACCAGGAAGTTTGCACAGCAACTGTGTACCGCTCTGCTCTTTCTCTCCACGCCAGAACTGAACATTATTCATTGTGATCTTAAGCCCGAAAACATTCTTCTTTGCAACCCCAAGCGATCCGCCATCAAAATCGTCGATTTTGGAAGTTCTTGCCAACTTGGACAAAGGGTAAGTTGTCATATGCATTTGCGTTAGTTTAGAAGCAGTGCAAATTGTAATTTCAACGGAAAGAATTGCCAGAAAAAAGTAGCTATTTCAAATGTAAAAAGAAATGTATGTAAACAAAATTCTAATTATTTGTACAACCAACGAACTGACTAGCCCTAGAGCATGAAGCTCCATACGTTTTCAGCGTACCGTAATCGTGATAACGTTGACTACTCCACGACCTGTGCTTTTTATAAACGTTTAATGTCGAGACCTTTAGTACAGTACACGTATCTACGACCTACGTAAATGCTACTTCCGAATTACCATTAGGTATATAGATTATTTATTTTTATTTATTTCAGATATACCAATATATCCAGTCGAGGTTTTACCGATCGCCGGAAGTACTGCTAGGAATACCGTATGACTTAGCAATAGATATGTGGTCGTTAGGATGTATTCTAGTTGAAATGCACACGGGCGAACCCCTATTCAGTGGTGCCAACGAAGTGGACCAAATGAATAAGATCGTTGAAGTGCTTGGCATGCCCCCCAAACATCTCCTCGATCAAGCGAATAAAGCGAGAAAATTTTTTGATAAGCTGCCAGGAGATGGAAAGTAAGTTTCTTGCTGCTACATTAATTAAATTTTAAATTAAAATACTCTTGAGCTGTTAAATAATTTATTATTATTAACTTAATTAGTTTAGTATAAATTTTGATAAATTTGTTCTCTACTTACAACTGTAACTATTTTTGTTTTTGATTTATAGGTATATTTTAAAGAAACCCAAGGACGGTAAAAAATACAAACCTGCCGGTACGAAGAAAATCCACGATATATTGGGCGTGGAATCGGGTGGTCCAGGGGGCCGTAGACTAGGTGAACCTGGACACTCCATGTCCGACTACCTCAAATTCAAAGATCTGATCCTTCGAATGCTCGATTACGACCCCAAAACGCGGATCACACCCTATTATGCGCTTCAGCACAACTTCTTCAAAAGGACAACGGATGAGGGCACGAACACGGCCAGCAGTACAAGTTCCAGCCCTGCTGTTATTAGCATGGACATGTCTTCTTCAAGCAGTCAACATGGTAAGGCTTTTGTTGTTGAATCATTTTAAATCTGATTAACCTTGAAGCGATTATGTTATTTCATCAACCAGCGTACCTTTACTAATAAACTGAGTAGTATAATGTTTTGCATGCATTTTTTAATAATGTTTTCATCTGATTTTGACTAGTAGTTTATTATCTGTGAAAAGTCAAAAGGAAACTTCATTTATGAGGAATTATAAAACTAAGTTCTTTTTATTTTAATAATGCGGAAAATTAAAAAAAATATCTGTATAATTATTATGATATTTCAAAAATAAATTCAGAGAGGTATATTGTATAAATAGGCCTAAACTGGTTGAGTAAAACATTAAACGCGTAATTTCAGAACAAAAATGAAAATAAACAGATGGCATTTGGTTAAATGAAATAGTTGGGAAATTCAAATTTGGATAAGACAGAATATTTATTAATAAATATAAATAAGTTTGTTGTTAGTAAAGGTTTGCTGTAAAGCATACAAAAATATATCATTTGTTTATATCATTTGTTTAAGTTGTGCGATCATGCTTTGATTGTGCCATTTGCCTACTAATAATTTTAATACATACCATTTTGACTTTTTTTGTCAATATCATTGATCTTTGCCTTGTTTAAGTAAGTGAAACTGTTTGTTGTACGCAGAGATAACTGGATCACAGCGATGACTAATGTAGACAGGCGGCTTAACGCCGCGATAAAAGCATACTAACACAGGTACCTAAAACGGAATTTTTAAATGTAGTGTAGTGCTCAGCATATGTCGTTGTTTCTTTCTGTATTTTTTTTTATCCTTTCCTTCCAGCTGCAAAACCATCGCTTCTTTTCTGTTTCAGTCAAATAAAAAGTGGTTTCTTTTCTATCATTTGTTGCGATTTGTTATAAAATTATCTGTTTCCACTTTTGCTAGGTTTTAGAGCATAATGTGCACATAATTAATATTGGAAACTGCATAAATTTAGTAAAAATTTACGCTCAAATGTTTGTTTTGTTCTACAAAAAAGAAAGCACTTTATATCATACATATACTTTTATAGCTCATAATTTATGAATCTTTTGCAAATACTCATTTTAAAACATTATGTACCTAGGTATGTTTCATGTAAGAGTTGGGTAGGTATATTCACCCACAATTTTTCTTGTACCGTCATCACAACATTTTAAGAAAACTTCTTTATAGTTTTGTAGACTTAAATATTACAACACATAAAGAAAAACGTTAATATTTAATAAACATTTTAAAATGAGTATTTAAAACGTAATTTTTAAGCAGTTTGCACTCAAGTCATATTATTGTCCTTCTTTAAAATAATTAATGAATTGGGATTAGTATTTCTATTTGTCTTCTTCGGACGTAGAAAACGCAAAATAATGAGAAACAAACCAGTGCTAATTTTCTTAATTAAAGAAAATATAATTTATCCTTTTTCTTCCCTTTACTTATTTCTTTCCCATTAGAGTGTGTTATCACAGGTTTAAAAGACAAATTTATTTACTAGAGCTTTTAATTTAGTTTACCTCCATAAAGTTGAGTAATGTAGAAACCTTAAGAAGTTATAGTATATAGTATAGTAACTGTTTAGGTAATAATTACTATAAAAGAAAACAGCACGTTCATTACAGTGCACGTCTTCGGCATGGAATTAAAAATTCAAAACAATAATTGCGCAAGTCATCAAATACAGTAACCAAAATTTAGCATGGCATAGATGCGAGACGCAGGATGCTCATGACTAACGATGGTAGTGTTTATAGCATTATTCTTTGTATTTGCACTTTTAAGTCAATGTTTCCAGTGTGGTACACGTACGGGATGAGTTTGGTGGGGGTACGCGCTGCTGCGGGCATTAGCTACGTCTTGTCCAACAAGCAGCCTAAAGATTAGATTTTTATTTAAAGATAAAGTATATGAGATTATTAAAAAAAAGAATGATATTCATTGTGACGAAAACTGTGGAAGAGGTACATAGCTTGGAAAACACTGCCTTAAGTTATACTTTTCGTATCACAAATGTGAAAAATGTATCATAACGCGGACTCGATATTTTACAATCAATTCAGCCAAAGAAGTTTTACTTGCATCTTAGTAGGAATTATGTAGGTGTAGTAGGGTTAATGTTTTATATTTTTTTTCTTCAGGGTTAAACCTTATAGGGAGATCACGTGACTACACCTCCACCTCGAATGCTGTAACCACGACCATCACCGCCAACCATTCGTACCAACCGACTAGTTATACGGCCATGGAGTGCGATCAGTCGCCGTCGAGGCTACAACAACAGCAGCCACAACAGCAGCAGCAGCACTCGCATCGACCTCCCCGCTATCATCATCAGGCCTCATTAATAAACTATGGGCCATCGTCGCTCCCTTATCAATCGTATCCCGGTCATGCCATACCCGACGGTCCATCGACGAAACACGGACCGACCGCAAACGGGCCGACGTCTAATAGCGCGCAAGTTGATAAAGAAGACAACAGCGCCATGGTCGGCGTGTGCGCGCAACAGAGTCCCGTCGCGATACACTGAGCGTGCATGCGCGTGCGTCTAAACGACCCGCCCACTGAGTTAATCGGTCCCCCGTCCGGCGTTCTCGAATACGGACGGTGAAGAGAATAGAGTACCCGTTGTCCTCGTTAATTTTGATTTTTTTTAGTGAAAGAAATTGACAGAAATTGGAACGATGTACGTTTTCCTTCGCGAGTAACGCGCTGAGGACAAAGAAAAAAAGAATGTCGTTCTCATGCGTCCGAGTACAACAGACTGGGGGCTTTCTTATCGATGCCCTGTTGTGCCAATGAGTCAAGTAAAAGTGACTACGATGATAACGACGTCTACGATGACGAGGACGTCGCCTATGGTTTTTAAATCATTGAAATTTTTATTAGCTTAAGGATAAAGTAATTTATGCTAGTATTAAAAAATACACAAATAAGGTAGTAAATTATACAAGCATGTATACATGTTTCATATGATTTTTCGTTTTTTTTTGTTTTTTTTTTTGTAACGTGGCTCTGGTCATCAAGTCACCGTCTACCCTCTGTGTCTCTCTATTATGGTCCGTTCGTATGTACCTTGTCTTTTTTGAAGAATTTTCTATGTCGTTGGGAGAGATGAATATGAGATTTTTAAAAACATCATAATTTTGTGATTCAATCTTTAACATACTTGATAAATTTGCATAAAATAAAAATTCAGTAACTGGGAATTATTTAATTAAAGACGGAACCAATTAAATAAAAACCCAATTTTATTGTGACTTTTGTTTCATCTAATTTAAAAGTGTCTTACCCCTTTCAGTATTGTAATATTAATTTTTCCAGTAAAAATACTTCACTTCCATTATCTCATCTTACATGAATTTGGTGCAACTTCTTAAATGATATTCAGTATATTGGTAATGTAAAAATTAACATTTTTTATGCTTAATGACTGATTTCGGCTGTGAAAGTCCTTTGCTGTTGTAGATGTGTAATGGTTGTGATATTGTCATTATTTTAACTTCTAGTTCAGTAAATATTGAAAAGGGTGTTCTTTACTTCAATGATGCTTCTGCCAATACAATTATTGTAAACCAATATATACCAAAAATGTATAACATTACATTGAATTCAACTTTAAAAGAATAAGAAAACAAAATAACTTTTTCTGTTAAATTATTTATTTTGGTCGTTTACGAATAAATCACAAACATTTTTGGTATGAGAAACGGCTTTAACATTAATTTTACTAAATATTTCTAAAATTTGTTTTAAACTTTTTTAAAAATTTCCTCGAATATTTATTTGGTTTCATTAGCATCTCGCCCAACGATTATTTCTTATTTTGCCTCCCAACAAACCAATGAACTGCTATTTATCATCTCTGATAATTTCACCATTAAATTTCAACGAAAAGTAACGCGTTCCCAAGATTACAATTTTTATTCACAATTTTTTCCGATATGGCGTTAAGTAATATGTCGCCAGGGCCTATCCACTCCACTACTGCAATACAGTGGTCAATGTGTTCAACTATAGTAGCAAAGTTAATACTAAATGAAAGAGTCTATGCTTGCACTTGCAGCACTCCACGACATTATTTTGCGGAAATGGAAAAATTCAATCAAACGCAGATGTCGTGTTAGTTCATTTTGTTTTTTAAATAAAGAACTGTTGATACCTTTTACCTGTGATAGTTTTAATCGTAAGTTGTTTTTATATGATTCATGAATCATTGACAACTTAAGTTAGAAGAACATCTTATGAGTTCTTTGTAAAAATGAAAATATTGACAATTGGCACAATCCAAAATATCATTAACTCATAAATTGACATTTTTGTTTAAATGAAAGTCTTTATTTAAACTTATCAATAATATTTTGCGCATTATTAGTACATGATTTACGTGTGTAAAAAGTGAAAAAATTAAATGGTTTTGTGAAATTCTATTTTAAGAAATGATTCCTTAATTGCTGCATTTTTTACAAGCATTTTCAAAATGAAGAAAAAAATAAAATTATTTTAAGCAATATAATTAAATAGATAATTTATAAACATTAAAATTCAACTAAAAATAACCACAAGTTTGAAAAAATAGTAAGAAATTACCGTTTTAACACGAGGAATATTGATGCATTTAGTTTAGGAAAAAAACTAAGTATATTTTTATTTGACAATAGTTCATTAAATATTCATGAAAAAGGAAGAAGTGCTGCAAGGGAGGCATAATCCCTTAAGGTATTTGTAAATAACTTAATCACTAGACTTGTATTTATCGATAAAACACCTATTTATTTAACTTCAAAATGTCAGTCAATGAACATACACGTTTTAGTTGAAGGGGATACAATGCAATGCAATGAATGATAAGAAAAAATGTAGAACAGTTGGTAGTGTAAGTTGTGCATACGCCAATCTGTAAATTCCTACTTGCTCTTTGTTATTTAAATAAAAATATGATCGAAAATGGGATGTTTCATTCAATTACAATCACAATAATAATAGTATAAGTCATTTTGAAGATTTTTTTAATTATTGCATTATTATTGAGTGTGTTCATTAAACCTATTAACTTTATTAAGGTTGTGATGTAAATATCAATTTATTTGAAGTTTTCAAAATATAAGTTATTATTGGGTAAAAGTGGTACGTTGTATAATTTTTATTAAGCGCGTTTATTCGAAACGATCCATATTACTATAGAATAATAGGGATATAATAATACTGTCTATCGGTACATGCAAGCGCATGCGCGTTCCATAGCTTAAGTTGTAATTGACTCATGTAATTTGTAATAAAAAATAGACAGTTAATAATATTCATTCAGTAATGTTGGTGATTGTTACTATGTAGGCATCAAATGGACAGTTCTGTGATATTGTTTGTACTTAATTGCTTTTTAGGTAAATAAAATTGCCACAGATTCGCTCTTGATTGTACGTATTCCAGACAGGTAAGATTATTTCTGGTTTAATAACTTGAACTTATAAATTTATTATTATTATCTGGAACAGAATTTTTTCTGGATAAAAAGGTACCCTATGCCCTTTTCTGTACCCCTGACAATGTGTCTGCAAAATTTCATGATGATCGATTGAGTAGTTAAAGTATGATTTACCTACTAAAACCCCTCCTCGAGCGAAGACATAAACCCTGTGGGTTGTTCGCGGATATCGTGTACCTCTATTTGTACGGTCGTGGATTTGGTACATTTTTTTTTCATTTATTGTAGACTCAAGACAATATTATTTTCATTTCAACCTATAAACAAAATTTTGTACAAACCATTGCTGTAACAACATTTTGGCCTGTACTTTGAAATTTTTAAAAAGAATAGATTTTTAGATAACGTTTTTTCTAAAGTAAAATCGTTATTGTTTTAGTACTTCGAACTATATGCCTATGGCGTTCCGTCTCAGTGCTTTGGATTATTGACTAAGGAAGTAAACGCTAATAGCAGTATAGGGTTGTTATTCCAGAATTATTCTCTCCAAATCATCAACACTGCATTGGAAAGGTGGGAGTCATTTTTATCTTTTATTTAAAATGAAAACAAATTTCCTCCATATTAAACAAGCTGCAGGCACCAAAATGCACCAGTTGTTGCAAGGCATCAGTAAAAATAATTTTATAGTTGGAAATTACCGGATTACACTTTCAATCCCAATTTAAATGCGTCATTTTTATTTTGTTAATCTATTAAAGTTTTTGCAGGACTTTAGTGAAAAAAATATTATGGTTGAAAATGACCGGGATGCACTTTCAATCCCAATTTAAATGCATCATTTTTATTTTGTTAATCTATTAAAGTTTTTGCAGGACTTTAGTGAAAAAAATATTATGCTTGGAAATTACCGGGATGCTCATTAAACCCCCAATTTAAAAACGTAGTTAATTTCCCCCTTTATTTAACCAGCTGAAAGTACAAAACATATTAAAGTTGTTATCATCACTGAAAAGAAGTTTGTAGTTGAGAATTAACAGGGTACACATTCAGCCCTCAATTTTTAAATCGTAGTTTTCAGTTCTTGACAAATTAATTTCTTCCTTATTAATCTAGCTGAAGCTACCAAAATGTATTATCTTTGCTGTGAGGTATCAATGAAAAGAATTTTATAGTTGGAAATCAGGGAAGTACACTTTCAACTCAAATTTAAGATCTTTGTTATTAGTTTTTGGTTAATTTCTCCCTTACTGTATAATCTGAAGAAACTGTTAAAATGTATTACAAGTTGTGACTCGTCATTGAAAAGAATTTGATAGTTGGAATTGGAGTGGAACAAATTTTATATTTGGAAATTATCGGGTGCACTTTCAACCCCTAATTTAAAAACGTAATTTTTATTTTTTTATAAATTTATTTCTCCCCTATTGAACCAATTAAAAGTGCCAAAATGAATTAAACTTAAATGTATTAAAAGTTTCTACGGGGCATTAGTGAACAGAAATTTCTAGTTGGAAATTACCGGGGTGCACTGCTTTTTAGCTCCAATTTAAAGATATCGTTTGACAAATTAATTTCTCCTTTATGATACGAAGTGAAAGCAGAAAAATGTAATAAAGTAGTCGTGGGTGGATACAAGGTAAAATTATGTGACTAAAACTAACTGGTAAATATTTTAAACTCTTTTTTTAAAAACACAATAAAAGTGTTAACAATAACAAATTTAAATTATGATACATAGCTTTGCGCGAAATTGAATGAGTCAAAAAGAGAGAACCGTCAAAAAGATAGATACTTCTTAATTAAAAATAGCAATTGATCAAGAAGGAAAAAATTTCCTCCAACCCCTTTTTTGTTAGCATATAGTAACAACGATAAAAAAAGCAATTAATTTTTAATCTGTCTAAAGATTAAGAAATTTGTAACAATTTTTTCATTCAAGGATATCTAAATTGTCCAGCTTATTTCTGCATTTTTAAAAATCATTGCATTTTATTGTAAGTCGTACGCCTATAACATTCTTTCTAATAGATATCTGTTTGTCTTCGTCCTAATATGGTCCTAATCTCTTTAACGGCCTTTTGTTATAATCGCATTATCGGTCATTTGTCTCCGGAAATAATATGCTTCTGTTTATGCATGTGTATGACTTACTTTCTGATTAGAATCGCGAATTCCTACGTTATGAATAATGACCGGAATAAACATAAAACTTAATTTACACTTTTTTAAATTAAACAGTATGAATATTTTAAAACGTATTTTCGTTACACAGGTTGTATTTTTTTTTTTGTAAAAATGCTTTCTTGAAAGTATTTAAATAAAAGTACAAATACTTAGCTTGTGATTGGAAAATATATTTGCATTATTATAATTATTTCTCAAATTTATTTACTCAACCGCTCCTCATCATACGTATATTAATTGTAACAAACCAATCTTGAAAATGACCCTGTAGAGAGAGTCGAAACGTCTCCGAAAAATAAAAAGGTTTTTCCAATGCCAGTCGAGGTTTTACCGATCGCCGGAAGTACTGCTAGGAATACCGTATGACTTAGCAATAGATATGTGGTCGTTAGGATGTATTCTAGTTGAAATGCACACGGGCGAACCCCTATTCAGTGGTGCCAACGAAGTGGACCAAATGAATAAGATCGTTGAAGTGCTTGGCATGCCCCCCAAACATCTCCTCGATCAAGCGAATAAAGCGAGAAAATTTTTTGATAAGCTGCCAGGAGATGGAAAGTAAGTTTCTTGCTGCTACATTAATTAAATTTTAAATTAAAATACTCTTGAGCTGTTAAATAATTTATTATTATTAACTTAATTAGTTTAGTATAAATTTTGATAAATTTGTTCTCTACTTACAACTGTAACTATTTTTGTTTTTGATTTATAGGTATATTTTAAAGAAACCCAAGGNCTTGTCTATGGTCTATGATTCATCTTGCATGCACCTTGTCTATCTTGTCCAATCTTACCTTCGGTTTTCGAGAAGACGGCAGGTTACCCTTTTTGCTGTTCATAAATGGAGACGACGCCGGAAGGTATTTAAACCTAATTCTTATTTGATTTTCATTTGATTGTGTGGAATACTATTCTATCTGGTGATTTATCGGTTTCGGTTACCATTGCTTAGATCTTTTTGGCGTGAATGTCTTCCGTGCCGATTTGGTTTTGTGCTTCAACGTGGGGTTCCATCTTAGTATCTAACCCATCCTCTCATCTGCGAATTTTTATGGACTCATAGTTTATTTGAGGTTTAATAATTACGGTTTTGTTAAAATTTTTTGAATTTTCGAAACAGGTTTCGGCGATGATTGTAGATTTTTCATATTAATTTGACCACGCCGCAAAAAATATTTCTATATTCCTTTAATGTTCTAAATTTCTGTTAAAAAAATATCACTTTTGCCTTATTATTTTATAGATTTGGTTTTAACGACTTGTTTTGTTTTTCTACAGTTCAGACCTGCTTTGAGATGACATCCTTGGATTTGATGGGCAAACGGCTTACACATGTAATGTTTGTGACAAACAAACAAACAACAAAAATACTTATCATGAGCTGGTCAAATAGGATAGAGGGTACTAACAATGGTAATTATCATTAATAATAAAATAATGACAAATATAGTGAACAAATAACCAATATAAGATTGTTTCAACAGGTTTCTATTACAACACAATAAATGTAGGTATATCGAGAGGGCAAATCAAAAGGGCTTGAAATGTGTAGAAGCAGAGCCTCAACCACGCTTTTTTCTCTTGGGCTTGGAAAGGGCGTCATTTGTGGAAAGGGTAAGAAATCTTGTAAATATTTTATGAGGTTGTATCTGCGAAATTATTTGTGATTTTCCAACTCTTGTATCCCATTTGTTTGACAATCATTACTAGTATAATTTTTTACTCTTCTGAATGGTAATAGTTAATTATTGAGTTTGATAGTCTATTATTTGATTGAGGAAGTTTTGATTCTTAAATTTTAAAAACAATGTTTAATATGAAACTAACATTCAATTGTTTCAACAGATTAAATGAACAAGAAAATAAGAAATAAGGATTCGAAACTTGGAGAAGTAAAGCCCGTCCCGTTGATGCTCGCTCCCTTGGACTTGAAAGGTGCAATTTTTAGAAAATACTTTTACTAAAATTCACATCGTTGTGTATCAGGTTGCATATGCGGTGTTCCGTCGTTCTTTCTGCTATATGGCTCATTTCACCATCATCAATTCATTCCTTTCATGGGCATCTGTTGTTAGAGACACTTCTCTATTGTCAACGCTTGAGAATAAAATTCGAACACCGTACAGTAATGCTCGAGGTAAGCAATTGTTTTCATGTTGTAACATTTTTATGGTACTTAATATCTGTGGCATCTATGGTTTTCCTTCTAGCTATTATCAATTGTTCACGGTATAAATTGGTATTACCATGCATCTATGATATTTTCTTCTAACGACTTGTCGACATGATAAATGGATGATAATCTGCGGTTATTTCTATCGACATTAACATTTATCTATGTCATGAATAAAATTGACAACACGTCACCATTTTATAATTTAGTTATTGTACTTGCTTTTTGATTAATGTTTTTATCGTGTTTTATATTGTCCTTCGTTTAAATCCTTTAATTAATAGTGTAATTAATATTTTTTTTTGTCCGTTTCTGCAGATCGTTCAACAAATGAGAGAATTAAAGTTCACGTTAATCATACTGGAACAACCAATGTCTACAATGGTGTTGTCTTTCTTGGACTATATCCTTTATTGGCTTTTTCGTCTTCACCTTGCAGCATTATGCAGTAAATTTTCAAGATGTGAGCGCAAGCAAGAGGAAATTTGTGGTATTTCTCCTGGATTTGGTTTGCTTTTCACAGTTGCAAACCTTGGAATATTACAGTCTATTGTTCATTAAGGTGAGAATGTTGGATATAATTAAAATCAATTGCCCTTTATTAATCTGTTACCACCCTATCTGTTTCAGATCGATGGTGGAGAAGACAAAGAAGACCCCGTAGTTAAAATAGTTCTCAGTACTATTGCATGCTTTTTAGTAGAATTAATTTTTTATTATGCATGTTTTTTGTAGTTTGTTTTATTAAATTAATTTTTGATTGTAGATGTTCTTATTTTTTAGTAGTGTTTTTATTTTTTTTAGTAGTGTTTATTTTTTGAGTAGTTTTTATTTTTTAGTAATGATCTGATTGTTTTTGGTAGTACTAGTATTAACATGTTCATTTTTTTAGTAGTATTTGTCTAACATGTCTCTTGCTTACCTCTTCGCTTAGCTTACTGCATATTCTCACTATAAATTGCTTTGCATTTACCCTACGAGTTCTACATGATTCAACGTTTCGTTATCGTGTGTGTTTCTTCTCACCCTTGTGGAATTAGGGAGGGCCTCCCCGAACGACTTCCCTTGGGCTTAGCTATTTAGTTGATCTTAAAAGTGTCTTATACACTTTTCGCGAGTCTACTCTAGCGTTACTTCCTTTCAGACAGGGT